AAAGCTATGCAACAACAATTTCAGAGGCTAGACATCATGTTTGGTGAAATTAAAGATAAAATGGAAAAGCAAGATGCAGCCATTGCCAAGTTATACCAAATACAGAATGGAAGTCCAAATTTGCATAATCATGATCCTGATGACAATGATGAAGATGCATTCAACGATGATGCCTAGAACTCAAATTTCAACATGGACAGATTTATGAGAGGTAGAGGGGGTCAAAGATATAGATTTAACAAAGGAGACCAAAATCTAGCAAGGTGGGGAGATTGGCAAGATCATGACTTAGGCAGCATCAAGATGAAGATTCCTTCATTTCAAGGCAAAAATGATCCAGATGTGTATTTGGAGTGGGAAAAGAAGGTGGAATTGGTGTTTGATTGTCATAACTACTCTGAGGAGAAAAAGGTGAAACTAGCAGCGGTGGAATTTACTGATTACGCTGTGGTGTGGTGGGATCAGCTTGTGCTTAGTCGACGTAGAAATTGAGAGCATCCTTTTGACACTTGGGAAGAGATGAAGACTGTGATGAGAAAACGGTTTGTTCTTAGTCACTACTACCGCGATCTCTATCAACGATTACAGGGCCTTACTTAAGGGTCCAGAAGTGTTGAGGATTATCACAAGGATGGCATGGAATATGCTGTTGATGGAGAACTGCTTGTCACCAGGCGTACTTTGAATGTGCAAGCCAAAGAAGATGATGAAGTATAACGCGACAACATATTTCACACGAGGTGCCATATCAAAAATAAGGTATGTAGTGTGATTATTGATGGTGGCAATTGTACTAATGTAGTTAGCACTGTTTTGGTTGAAAAGCTTAATTTACCTATGATGAAGCATCCAAGGCCATATAAGCTGCAATGGTTAAATGATTGTGGAGGAATCAAGGTAAATAAGCAAGTTCTGGTTTCATTCTCTATCGGACGATATAAGAATGAGGTACTATGCGACGTGGTTCCCATGCATGCTGGACATTTACTTTTGGGGAGACCATGGCAATATGATAGGAGAGTAAGGAGAGTAACACATGATGGCTTCAAAAATCGCTATTCATTCATCATGGAAGGGAAAACAATTACTCTTACACCATTGAGTCCAAGGCAGGTTTATGAGGATCAACTGAGAGTAAAAAAAGAGAGTGAGTTGAGAAATGAGAGTGAGCTTGAGGGTACGAAAAACAAAGGGAAAACAATTACTCTTGCGCCATTGAGTCCAAGGCAGGTTTATGAGGATCAACTGAGAGTAAAAAAAAAGAGTGAGTTGAGAAATGAGAGTGAGCTTGAGGGTACGAAAAACAAAGAGAAAACAGCAGAAAAGGAGTCCAAAAAGAGAGAAAAGATTGAGAGTGTTGAAAACAAAGAGAGAAAATCAGTGAGTGTTTATGCAAAAGAAAGTGATGTCAAGGTTGCGTTCTTTGCGAACTAGCCTATGTTTGTGCTTCTGTATAAAGATGCTTATTTCAACACTAACGAACTTAATGATTCTTTGACTAGTGTTGTTAAATCTCTTTTGCAGGACTTTAAGGATGTGTTTCTAGATGATGTTCCTAATGGTTTACCACCAGTAAGAGGAATCGAGCATCAAATTGACTTCATTCCTGATGCAACAATTCCAAACCGACCAGCATATCGAAGAAATCCCAATGAGACGAAAGAACTTGAAAGGCAGGTCGAAGAACTCGTGAAAAAGGGACATGTGAGAGAAAGCATGAGTCCATGTGCAGTACCAGTGCTACTTGTGCCTAAGAAGGATGGGACTTGGCGTATGTGTGTTGATTGTCGCGCGGTCAACAAAATCACTGTAAAGTATTGTCACCCTATTCCTAGATTAGATGACATGTTAGATGAGTTGCATGGTTCTTGCATATTCTTTAAAATTGATTTAAAGAGTGGATATCATCAGATTAGGATGAAGGAAGGAGATGAATGGAAAACAGCCTTTAAAACAAAACATGGTTTATATGAGTGGTTAGTTATGCCGTTTGGATTAACTAATGCGCCTAGTACATTCATGCGATTAATGAATCATGTTTTGCGTGCTTTCATTGGCAAATTTGTGGTTGTTTATTTTGATGACATTCTGATATATAGCAAGAATTTAATTGAACATATTAAGCATGTGCGAATGGTACTAGAGGTGTTGAGAAAAGAAAAGTTATTTGCTAACCTTAAAAAGTGTTCCTTTTGCACAAATCAGATTGTTTTTTTAGGGTATGTTGTTTCAACTGATGGAATCGCAGTAGATGAAGAAAAGGTTAAGGCTATTAAAGAATGGCCAACACCTAAAAATATTTCTGAGGTGCGGAGTTTTCATGGTTTGGCGAGTTTCTACCGGCGATTCATCAAGGATTTCAGCACAATTGCAGCACCATTGACTAAAATTGTGAAAAAAAGTGTTGGATTTAAGTGGGAAAGTGAACAGGAGAATGCTTTCAATTTAACTAAGGAAAATTTAATTTCTGCACCGTTACTTGCTTTACCTGATTTTACTAAAACTTTTGAAATTGAATGTGATGCATCAGGTATTGGCATTGGCACTGTTTTGATGCAAGAGCGGCGACCTATTGCATGTTTCAATGAAAAATTGATTGGTGCAGCACTTAACTATCCTACTTATGACAATGAGATGTATGCATTAGTAAGAGCTTTAGAGACATGGCAGCATTATCTTTGGCCTAAGGAGTTCGTGATACATACTAATCATGAGTCATTGAAGCACCTGAAGGGACAAGGTAAGTTGAATAGACGACATGCTAAGTGGGTGGAATTCCTTGAGACGTTTCCCTATGTGATCAAGTATAAGCAAGGAAAGGAAAACATTGTGGCTGATGCATTATCTCATAGGTTCTCGAAGATGGCACACTTCATTCCATGTCATAAAACTGACGATGCAACCAATATTGCGAATCTATTCTTCAAGGACGTTGTTCGTTTACATGGCATTCCAAGGACTATCGTTTCTAATCGCAAAGTCAAGTTCTTAAGTTACTTTTGGAAGACATTGTGGGGAAAGCTGGGAACTAAGCTACTGTTTTCGACTACTTGTCATCCACAAGCTGATGGACAAACAGAAGTGGTTAATAGGACATTGTCAACCCTATTGCGTTCTATTATTCAGAAGAACTTGAAGAACTGGGAAGAGTGTTTGCCGCACGTTGAATTTGCTTATAATCGGAGCATCCATTCGGCAACTAACTGTTCACCATTTGAAGTTGTGTATGGTTTTAATCCACTCACTCCTTTAGATTTATTGCCTTTACCTATTGACGAACAAGCTAGTTTGGATGAGAAAAAGAAAGTTGAAGTGGTTAAGCAACTGCATGAAAGGGTGCGACAAAACATAGAGCGACGAACTGAGCAATATGCAAAACAAGCCAACAAAGGACGCAAGAAAGTTGTATTTGAACCTGGTGATTGGGTTTGGGTGCATATGCGCAAGGAGCGATTCCCTGCACAAAGGCGTTCTAAGCTACAACCAAGAGGTGATGGACCATTTCAAGTGATTGCAAGGATTAATGACAACGCATATAAGTTGGAGCTTCCTGGTGAGTATAATGTTAGTGCTACTTTTAATGTCTCTGATCTTTCTCCTTTTGATGTAGATGACGATTTGAGGACAAATCCTTTTGAGGAGAGAGGGAATGATGGGAATCAAGACGACAGCATATCTACCACGTCATGTGATCCATTACACACCCAAGGAGGTCCAATCACGCAAGCTAGAGCTAATAAGATGCGTGAAGCTTTAAATGGCCTTATTGAGCAGATCTGGGTTGAAAACAACATACAACAAGCAAATCGAAGCTTGGATGATTATCAAGGCATGATAAACATCATTCAGGATCAAGAGAAGCTTAATTGAGGTCATTTATGCTAAATTACACAGTTTGCGTCAATCTCGCAATTCTGTCGCAATTTGTAACAAACTGATATTTCATGTTACTTTAGGCTACTTTTAGTGATTTTCACGTTTTTTATATTATTTTGGGTTGAACATTCATTTATTTAAGGCCCAATTCGTGGTTATTATGATTAGGGCTTAGAGTGTTAGTTTCCTATTCTGATTAGAATCACTTTTCCCTATTTAAAGGGGCTTGTAACCCTAATTGAGGGAGGCGATTGAATCTGAGATTTTGAGAGACTTTTCTCTTTGGTTCGTTTCAGAACTTTACAGAACTTATCAAGATTATTCTTTTGGCGTTCTAACCTGACTTATCATTCTCGTTCTTAATCGTTCGAGGGTGTGGCGTCAACCAACTTTATACCTCTGGTTCTTGTTGCGTCATAGACAACGGGTCAAGGTTTTTACCTTTGGTTCTTGTTGCGACATAAACAACGGGTCAAGGTCCTACCATAAATTAGCTTTCCTGGAGTTCAGAAATCCCTTGTCGTATTGTGGGTCTCATTGTTCTCTTTGGGGTTCTCATCAACATTTGTATCGAAATTAGTCACAGCACTCACCCTACCGCACAGAGGTTCATTAATTACTGTAGAGGGTCCATTGAATACTCAAGTTTTAAACTTAAATCCACTTACTCCATAGGCACAAACACATATATATGTTAAATATATTCAAAACACATCAAAAATAATATAAGGATATAATTTCATTTATTAATTCACTTGAATAATTACATTCTAATGCAATTCACATTAATCTTTTTATGCTTACACTTGGTTTACGACTTCAACCCTTAAGAATGGTAAATTATTTTTTACTCAAACAATGCAATTAATGCACATGAACACACATAAACAACACTCAAGTACCTTGTCATACGTAATACCTAAAATTTTGGTAAAAAATATAGATTTTGTTTGATAATGCTAATCCCTAAGAAAATCATCAAGTACAACATGCACAAGGAATTCATGGTAACAATAAAAATATTTGACAATAGAATTTATATTAATTTCAAGTATGAAAATAAACCCACTTCTAGGTTCTATCCCCGATATCCATACATGCACCCAAAAATTAATATATTTTTAATAAAATTTTAATACTCAAAAAATCTTTTAAATAAATGATTTAAGGTTAAATTTTACTAATCCAAACTAATTCTTAGTATATTATAACAAATTTATAACCCATCCAAAACTCTAACTCTAATCCATAGCTAAAACTCATAATTATCCATAAAAATCAAAGCACCAAATAAGAGAAAACTTACAAAATTGAGAAAAAATCTAACTAAACAATGCATTCCCACACAGCCCCAACACATCCACTCAACTGAAAATTAAAGGTGCAAAAGAAATGGGTTTTGTTTTGATTTGAAGTCTTCCAAAGGAAACTCGTGCATCATGGAAGACTTTATAAGTCCTAGCACAAAAATGACATAATGAAGTTGGACATTCCCCAACTTCTACTAAATTTCACTTTAAACCCCCAAACTTTCTATTTAACCAATTTTAGTCTCTAAGACTTTGAAATAAAGGACTATAATTTATAATTTATTTACTAAAATATATGGGGTGTTATACTACGTATGGAGTGTCATTGGCTAGAATTTCGCTTTCAACTAGAGTTGTGGCTAAGCCATTTTTGCCACATACTGGGGTACTGCTTAAGCAGCCTTTTAGCAGTAACTTCTTAGTCGCATTTTTTTCCACTTTGAGTTTCATCCCATCACTACAATGCTAACTGTAGATGAAAGTAAAGTTCACCAGAGCTCTTCAGGTTGACTATGTCTATTCTTGAGTTGTAGCTCTTCAGGTTGACTATATTCTTTTCTCATGCAAGTAACCATTGTAGGGGAGGGGCCAAATGTGGCTGAAGTCCCATAATGTTTGTCTTTTTATTTCTATTTTTATTTTTATTTTTAATTGCAAACTACAAATTAAGAATGAGAAAAGAAAAGCTTAATTACCAAGGGTATCACCAACATAGAATTTTGTATAGGACACTGATTTTTTGTTGTTAACCGTTCCTCTGTTGGTCCATCTAGCAGAGTCACCAACCATGTATGAATTACTCTCGTAAGAGACTTCACAAGTCTATCATCACCACTAACACTATGCTTTTACCCATAAGCATTGTTATCACACTAACAAAAATAAAAAACCACAAGAGAGCTCGGACAATTAGGACGTTTTGGTGCTTAGGACGTCTTGAGACGCTCAAGATGTCTTGATTTTTATATTTTTGAAACCACAATCATACTAAATAGAACTTTAGTCTTTTTCAAGTTGTTTTATTCAAACAATGCAACTATGAGTCTTTTTTCCTTTTAATTTTTTAAAGATTCACTTGATAAATACTAATTTTCATTAAAAATATGTTTGATTTAGGGAAATGGAAGGGATGAATGAGTTTTTCAACTAATTAAATTATAACATTTTTAAATTTTACAATATCATTGGTTAAAAAATTCATCCCCCTCTCTTTTTCATTTCTTTCAAACCAAAAATAAAGTAAATAATGGAAAAAGAATTCTAAGTAGCTGATATATTTTAGACTAAGCATATCCAAATTCATAATTACTCTCACTCTTCTAACTTTCAAAACATTGTATAGAACTTTTAGGTTCTATTTCAATTTGGGTATACATAATTTGGCTTTTGTCCATTTTTATACCTTAGACATTTAAGATTGTCTAAATTCGCAATCCCTTATGTGACCTAGTGGTGGCCACACTGCTCTTTGGACAGCAGGTGGAATGCACCCAATTTCAAAGTTCGACTCTCCCTAATAGTAATAGATATTAATACCTAATTTAACTATTTTCTCCTGTAAAATCTTGGCTCTACCATAACATAGTGCAACATGGATATCGAGCCTCAATCTAACTCTACGTGTATTACCTTAAACATTAATAGGATATCTTTAAAAAAAAAAAAGAATTACAAATATTTGACATAAAACCATATTTTGTAGTTTAGTATTAAATTGTAAAACAAAAACAGAGATATAATAACCTTTACTATTAAGAAATTTATATTAATTTAATAATTTAAATTTTATAATTTCATACGACTCAGATTGCATAACATATTTTTATTTGTAAGTTTAAAATATGAATGGAAGAAAAGGAAATGGAGTGGATGTCGGGTTTCGTTTCCCGCCCGACCCGAGATCCTACTCGCAAACGGCGGTTGGATCCCAACTTCAACTCAAACGTGACGTGTCAACCGAAGATTGGACCAGTAACACCAGTCGACGTGGCAAACATAAATCAGCTAGTATATCCCCAAACTACCCCTCCTCCAACGCTGTAATCCTCCGGGGAAGAGATCCCAAATTCCGCACCACTCTCCAGTCCGGCGGACCATCAAACGATGCTTCCGCGACGATGGAATCAGATTCTAATACACTCTCTCCTCCTCTTCTCCCTCTACCCTCTCTCCCTTTACGCTCGCCCATTCGTCCTTGTCCTCTCCCAGGACGACCTCAAGGACGCCCCCCAGGCCGACGACGCTTCCCTCCAGGACTCTGAAGCTCCCTGGGACGACGACGACTTCGACGGCTCCCAAACCAAGCCCGAGGACGAGCTGGACCCGGGATCATGGCGCCGGCTCTTTGAACCTGCCTCTGTTGGTTCCGACACCGAAGAGATGTCGGCGTACTATTCTGGAGTGGCGAGGATTGTGGCGGCGTCCAGCGGTGGGGAAACGAGGGTGATGGAGGAGGCGGCAGCTGAGATCGAAGGTGCTGCGGTGGAGGGTGATCCGCACGCGCAGTCGGTGTTGGGGTTCCTGTACGGGATGGGAATGACACGGGAGAGGAATAAGGCGAAAGCGTTTCTGTATCATTATTTGGCTGCGGATGGCGGGAATGCGCAGTCCAAAATGGCGCTCGCCTACACATATGCTCGTCAAGATGTAAGCTTTCCTGAATTATTGTGGATGCTGTGGGAGAGGCTTGGTCTTTTTTGAATAATTTTGATTTTCTTGGATGCAGGAGTATGAGAAGGCAGTTAAATTGTATGCTGAATTGGCAGAAATAGCAGTGAATAGTTTCTTGATTTCAAAGGATCCACCTGTGATTGAAACTGTAAGGATTCATAATGGGGCGGAAGAGAATAAGGATGCCTTAAGAAAGTCTCGTGGTGAGGAAGATGAAGACTTCCAGATTTTGGAGTATCAAGCACAGAAAGGAAATGCTGCAGCAATGTACAAAGTTGGGCTATTTTACTATTTTGGGTTGAGAGGATTGAGAAGGGATCATACCAAGGCTTTGATATGGTTTTTGAAGGCTGTAGAAAAGGGGGAGCCAAGGTCTATGGAACTTCTTGGGGAGATATATGCCAGAGGAGCTGGAGTAGAGAGGAACTACACCAAGGCCCTTGAATGGCTTACACTTGCATCAAAGCAAGGACTTTATTCGGCTTATAATGGGATGGGTTATTTATATGTTAAAGGTTATGGAGTGGAGAAGAAGAATTATACCAAGGTAAGTTCATTCTGTGGATTATTGAACCGCTTTACCTATTGCCTATTGTTCAAAGCCTGCTTTTATCTGTCCCTAATTTACTTCCCACAGTCTGCTTTGTGTTTATATACTTCCATCCATATTATTGAGTCTCTATATCTCCATTTCCCCAAATATGCTTTGTGTTTAATAATGTGGGTCTCTAGCCATTACATCTAAATTTGAATATTATGTTTGACAATTGGACCCAAGAAATTGGATTTGGGAAGAATGATGGTACTGGAACTCTAATGGTGTTAAAGCAAAGTTCTCATCTGTCAAACAAGGACAATAATTCTTGTGGTAATATGATACTAACAATGGAGTTATTCAAGTGTTAATTATGTGATCTCTCTTTTGTACAGGCAAAAGAGTATTTTGAGAAGGCAGCTGATAATGATGATGCTGGCGGACACTATAACTTAGGAGTAATTTATCTTAAAGGGATTGGAGTGAAGAGGGATGTAAAGGTTGCTTGCAAATATTTTATCTCTGCTGCCAACGCTGGTCAGCCGAAGGCATTTTACCAATTGGCAAAGATGTTCCATACTGGTGTTGGGCTTAAAAAGAATCTTCCTATGGTAAATTCAAATGGATTTTGCTTTTAATTCTCATTTGTCTTCTTTTATTTTTATTTTTTATTTTTTTATTTTTCATCACTATGCCTTGTAGTTTTTCATCTGGGGACAGGAAGAGTTATTTTTCTTGTTCTTCCTTGCATTAGTCATGTTGCATGAAAGACAAAAAGAAAATAAGAGGAGAAAATGAAAGAAACCAAAACAAAATCTTTGGGCTGCTGAGCTTGTTATAGCAGCTGATCTTGTCAACTGTTATTGTAGCAGATGTGATGCAGGACAGGTTAGGAGTATGGTAGGGTGAAAGGTAGAAGAACCCTAGGAATCTTACCTAAGTTTCTTTACCTAGATAGAATATAGTAATATACTTAGGAATCACACCTAAGGTTGATTGCATCATGCAATCACAAAGCATGATTGGTGGAAATGATTCTGAATATTATTTACTGTTGAAAGAAGCTACAATCATAGAGAAACAGAGAGTTAGGATCAACTTACACGTGTAAGATAAGGAACGTATGCTAATAATTTCCAATATAGTTGATATTTTGAAAAACTAACCATTGGATTAAATGTTCTTTTATTTTATTTTTTTATCAAATGGTTATACATATTGGATCAACTTGAAATTTTGCATGCATGATGTACATGAATAGAATAATCAGTCCAATATGCTGGGTTTTTCAAAGTATTAACTATATTAGAAATTACAAGCGTGTCTAAGGGTTTCTTATTTAGTTGATATAGAAACAGAATTCCTATTCTAACTAGACTAGAACTTAGAATTCCTAATCCAACTATTAATAAAAGATCTAATCAATCCTAACAAAACTAGTAAAACTATTAATGAGCTAAACTAACACTTGAATGGTCATAACAACATGATAAGCCTAAATACTGTAAATAACTCTCCATAGGTTCTTGTCCAAGTCATTGGCAAAATAATAATAAATAAATAAATAAATAAACTTCCAACCTAAAAAATTCTAAAATCTGCAATAAAAGGAACTAACCTGTGCTTTTATTTTGATTTTTGATTTTTATGTCAACCTGTGATGCGTGTATTATGAATGGTATTAAGATGCGTAATAATCAATCTGTCTGTTAAGATAAAAGAAATTAATCAATCTATCTGTTGAAATCTGTGTTTTTCCTGATTTCAGGCTACTGCATTGTACAAACTTGTTGCAGAACGGGGACCTTGGAGTTCCCTGTCTAGATGGGCGCTTGAATCATATTTGAAAGTTGATGTGGGTAAGGCATTCCTCTTATATTCAAGGATGGCTGAGCTAGGTTATGAGGTAGCACAGAGTAATGCTGCATGGATCCTTGACAAGTATGGTGAACGTAGCATGTGCATGGGAGAATCTGGATTTTGCAGTGATGCAGAAAGGCACCAGCGTGCACATTCTTTATGGTGGCAGGCTTCTGAGCAGGGTAATGAGCATGCTGCTTTGCTTATTGGAGATGCCTATTACTATGGTCGGGTATGTACCAATAGACACATTGGTGAAGAGATTCTCTCAGTTCTGGTTATACTACTATCATTGAGCTCTATGATTCTTTGCTCTTACTGTAAGGTTTTCTAACTCTGCTCTTACTTTCTTTTTCACAGGGAACTGAGAGAGATTATGAACGTGCAGCAGAAGCTTACATGCATGCTAAATCCCAATCCAATGCACAGGCCATGTTCAACCTCGGGTACATGCATGAGCATGGCCAAGGACTTCCATTTGATCTTCATCTTGCTAAGCGTTACTATGATCAAGCCCTAGAGGTAGATTCTGCAGCAAAGTTGCCTGTCACACTGGCTCTGACAAGTTTGTGGATACGAAAGAACTATGCTGACAGTTTCCTGGTGAGTGGTTTTCATCTTATCTATTAATATCTTCTTTCAACCATAGCTAAATTTTAGACAAGTTTATTTCAATTTTCAATATGATTATGTTCATTTCTATTGCAAGAGCATCTTCATGGATATTAATGATGAAGCTGATGTCTCAATGCTGACACACATACACATGCAGCTCAATGAATTGTAATCAGAAATTTATGCTTGGATGCTTACTGTAGGAAATTTCTTGAAATTATTTTTTGCGATCTTTATAGGAGTCAAGGGAGTGACCTTTTGAAAACTGTGATTTTTGTGCCATTTCTATACGTGCTTGTTCCTATTTAAGTCGACCTGTAGAAGAAACTTGTGGATTTTCATTTTTTCCCGGGGTATGGTAGGTTGAAATTTTCTGATACATTTAAACTTGTAGGTGGACCAGAAAAGAACACATGGAAGTTTTAGACTTATTTTTGATTGATTTAGCTAGTTGTCTGATGGCAGATGTTACCATCTATCCAGTAACCCATCCAACCATCATTACATGAAAATAATGTTACACAAGTTCAATACATCCATCGGTTACTTCGTCAGGAGAAAAGAAAGAATGAAGTCTGAGACAAAAATATTTATGGAAACATAAGATGCAGAAGTTGCTTCTTTTCTCCTGACTTCTAGTTTTAGCAAATAGACAGTGGGAAATAGAAACATAGTTGCAGTCTGCTTTGCCTGCAATCCCATAAAAGTTGTTGGATTCATCCTTTTTGTTCATACAGGACTAATCTTTGGCCTTTCATGTTCTTATTAGGTTGACTTGATTGACTCGTTGCCTGAAGTATATCCAAAAATAGAAGCATGGGTGGAGAATGTAATCATGGAGGAAGGAAATGCTACAATACTCACTCTATTTGTCTGTCTCCTAACAGTCTTGTACCTTCGTGAGCGACAACGGCGGCAAGCTGTAGCCGCTGGTGGTGAAGTGGCCCTACCCGACCAACTTAACGAGCATGTTCTACCTCCACCACGTTAACCGGTGGCATTAGTTTTCAGGAGTAGTGTTAGTTTTTGCTCTCTTAATCTATGAAAAGGTAAAATCATTCAAGCAATATGACGCAATGTACAGGATCGGCTTCTCCTTTGGATTGGATAAAGATTGCCTTCTTCTATTGTACGATAGACAGAGCCTCACATGTTGAAACATGCGACTAAGACAGATATGTCACATTCCAATTCAATCATGAAAGTAGCTATTTTCAAAAAGAAAATCAGGAAAGATAACTGACTTATTTATCTCTACAAAGACACATTATTCGCTGAAAGGAGTGACAAGAATACAGATATTTTCAGTTTTCCTGTTGAGGACCTTGTGTTTCTGAGTCTTTCTTTCTTCCCTCTATTTATTTATTTATTTCTTCTCTCTCTTCTTCCTCTTCTTTTTCCTTTTTGTGACTGTCTGGTTTGAAAAACCATTCCATGCTTAGAACAACTAAAATGCTCACAATACACTGTCAAAATATGATAAAAGGGTATCTTGAACATTTTAAGTCCTCTCCTTTTTCCTTCTTCAATTAGGACCTAAAAGCCAGTATTCTGTTAGGCCTTACAATTGGGAAAATATCATTAATAGAGAATATTGGCCTCAGTTCTACTTCCTAAATACTTCTCCAAGAGAATACATTCAGTGTTCCACAAACTGGACTGATGGCTACAAAACTGATGCAGGAGGTTGATAACTAATGTCTATATATATATATATATATATATATATACAGGGCACTTTGGGGACCAGTTTAAGCAAGTAATTTCCCGAGTTCTTGCAAATACCGTTATACAGTAAGGGATTCCTGCAACTGGGCCATACATTGTTGTCAAACTCCTCAACCAACGAGCTTGGTTTCAAAGATTCTAAATTGTCTACTTCCCCACTTGTTGCTTTTGTCAAGATAATAAGATTTCAGGCAGCACTGCACCCATGGTGGATTCCTGCCAGCATTCTTATCTTGCTTGCCATCATCAGTCATATCTATTCCAAGCAATTTATTGAACTTCATTCCCAATTCATCAGTGGAACAAACCCCATCAAAAAATTTCTCCTATTATAAAGAAATGCAGTCAAAGAATTAAATCATGCAAACAGACTACACAATTTTATCGAATGAATAAACTTTTAGTGAGCAGATGCATCAGAATCCATAATATCGTGCAGATATTTGATCAAAATCAATAAAAATTATACGTTTGAATTTAACTGATTCAACAGGTTTCCAAGTGAGGTTTCAAACAAACCCCGTTGTTGCCCATCACATTGGGGAATTATATTAATCTAAAGCTCTATATTTCTTTTTGTTTTTAATATTCACAGTTAAGAAAATCACTTTGCAGATAAAAATATGGGTTATACAAAATAACGTCTTTAAATCTAAAACTTTAAAGAAAAACACAAGATTCTCTAATAGCAGTTCTATCAGGAACAAACATATAACTAAATGCAGTGATTTATTTCACCAAAGAGGGATTGAATGTTTCCTCCTTGAAAATAACTCTAATTTGCTTGTAAAGGAAACCAAACTGCCATTTTATCAGCCAACAAATTGTCCAAGTTCAGGCAAGAATCTTTTCTTCACAACAGAAAATGGCAAGGATGTCAAAATGTCAAGAAGGATAAAAAAACCATTGTTCTTACCCCATCTTCTGCAAATACAAAAGCATGGACTCTAGCAGTCGGATCCTCTAGGGTAAACCTAATCCTGTAAGTACCACGAGGTGAGCGGAAATCCTCAACCCGCCATGGAAATGCAGCTACAAACCGTACTACACACTTAAATTTAGCAGTCACCTGTAAAGTCATCAAGAAATGTTTTGAAGCATGCATACACAATTTAACCCCATTTTGTCTACTTTATTATTATACAGCCAAGTTTCAGCTCCCACAACCACCCACTTCCCTCTCTTTTATTTTATTTTTTGCCTTAGCCAGTAGCTTTTGGTGGCATGATGAGTCAGAAGACTTATCCTGCAAGCAAAATGCTTTTCATGTTTGAAGTGCCTGCCTAAATCGTTATAAACAAAATGAGCAAGAACTTAAAGCTCTATTGGAGCACAATGCTTTTTCCTCATGCTTTCAGGCAGAGATGATATGCAGATACTTGGGAAGAAATCCTAAACTAAGCCAAACCAAACTACAAGTCGCAAATTGTTTTCTATTTTGTCTTCCAATATTTGTTAAGATGATAACTACTTCTGGTTTCTATATACCCCTTGAAATTTAGAAATCAATTGCATAATGAACAATCCAATACTAGTTAAAGCTTCAACCAAAGGAAGGAAACTTTGGGCATGGAACATGCATAAAAAGCCCTCCAGCTTCAAAATATCCTATATCTTCAGCCTTGGATCTGACTTAACTGCTAGTGCTCTAAGCAAAACTTCTCCAAAGAAATTTGCAGCTCTACGGTTTATAATCATCCAAAGTATTTGGATCAAGGTTCAAATATAGAAAATTAAAATCGTAAATAAATACCTAACATATAAGTGCATAAATGAAAACAAGAATCTTTTGTTAAAATAATTAAGTTTTCAGTAAATCTAATAAAGGTCAACAGCCAAAATTATATTGAGTCTTTTGACTCCACTGCAAGGTTAGACTACACATTCTTAACCCATTTAATAAAATATCCATCTCAACGTGGTCAAAAAGAAAGACTAGGAAGTACAAACAAAAAATAGAAACAAAAGGATGCAATACCTCTGGATAGGTTAGAACATCCATTAGTGTAGCAAATGCCATGCCATCATAGTCAACCACTGTTTGCCCATGGTAGAAAAGATATTAAAGTGTCATCAGTTATCACCATTAATATGCTTAAGAAACACCCATAAACAGTAACATCGATGAGAAGGAAACAGATCTGAGTCGAGAAGTTTAAGAAGAATAAAATTGCCTACATTTTATTCTCAACAAAATTACCAAAATTTTTAAACCTGTTATTTCTGAAGGCCAGGGAAAGCTCCAGTATGGCATCCTACCCAGTTTGAACGACAGTCTCTCATCCAAGAGGCTGGCACAGGTTTATTAATGCATGAGATGCTGAGTTTCTAAAAGCAATTAAAGAAATAATTAATATATAAGTTATAACTATGTATATGATACAGCAGTATAACTATAAAGCAATGTGATGCAGATGGAAATTAGAGGAATACATAAAAATATTTATCCATTCCATTCTAACAAACAAGACTGAAGAATATAATTAGTTGATGGTAGGAGAGGAGTGGATCAACAAATAGAGATGTGATTAGAATGAAATCTTGGGAAGATGATTTGCATGATAGACAGAACATAACAGTAATTTTGTCTAATAATGAAACAAATGCATGTAAAAACTACCTCAGATGTCCCTGAACAATAATATCATCCTCAGGCACATTTTGGAGCCTTGTACTGGTTGTGAACACACCACGCCAAAGTCCTGCATGCACTTCACAGATCATGTTCAAAACTTTCACCCATTTTCCTATTTCCAACAAGTGAAGGACCTGCATCCCATATTCTGGCTTAATGATCACCCTCAAGATAGTTCCAACAGTAGGTAACGTACATAAAACATCTCTTGACAAAGGCAAGGGTTCCAAATGTAAAGGAAGCTCATTAGCCATTTCATCTTCTAGCCTGTGGTCACAGTCAATGATATTCAATAGATATCTTAGTGCATTCAATATGTAAAAGTAAATACTAAATATCAAATCTCATGTTTGAAAATACTAAACCCTGGATATATGGACCCAATTCATCAACAAGGAGTCAATGGCAACTCATTCTACAGGACAGATCTATGTTAGTTGAAGAAACAGCATCAAATGATGATGATGATAATGATATGATAGTTTGACTGCTCACGCAACAGGGTCAATACAAAAATATGTTGTATGGTAAATCCCTGTATAGTAAACAGAACAAATAAAAGCAATGAAGGCCCTGTTGACGATCTTCGTGTTTTCTGTGGCTCTGCTGAGGAAACCTGCTCACATCTAGATATATTTTGAATGTATTTTTACTGAAGCTTGGATGAGAGAATAGAAGTGGTTTGGAACACCCAAACTAAAAGATTGAGAACTGCTATAGCAGCTACTGTTTACTTGATATGAGCTGAAATAAATAGAAGAATCTTTTGAGTCAGCAGTGGCATTCACCACGTCAATTATCAACTTTTTTAAATTAATAGGCTTTATATGGATGTAGAGTTTATTATTGTTAGACTGAAATCATTATTTGTTTTTATTGTAGACATTTGATTTATTAATAGTAATAAAGGGAATAACGAATAGAAAGTAATAGCTTGGCTCGTGCATAAACGACCAATTCTCCGGTAGAAGAGAAGGTTCCATCGGAACAATTTTTTATTTCAACTCGTCTCTTTTTTTTTTTAAATATTCAGTTTCATAGTTTAATTGAAGAAACTGACCTTTCTTTTATTTAAAAGAAAAAAAAAAAGTGATAAAGGCCTGGCTATATCTTTCATATCATAAGCTGATATATTATTCTAAAGCTGGATTATCATTTTGTTCCTTTTACTACTCTCTTTTGTTCAGATCTTTCCATCTCAGCATAAGCAGATGGCTGCATATTTCCCAAGCTTAGGGTTTGATTTAGAAATCAAATCAAGGAGTTCAATATAACAAGGGGAAATTAACAGATGCCAACTCACTTTCTAATGACAGTGACCGAGGGAGCATCAGTGCCATCCCAAAGGAAGACCATCCACCCATTACCAATCTCACATAGATGAAGTACCTTAACATGGGAAACATAGAATATAAGAGAAATGATTTTTGAAACAATTGAAAAGGAATATCATTATAACATTATCATTTCTTTGGAAAACCTCAAACAAGACCAAATGCACAAGTATGCAGAGAGATCAAAAGATTGAATACCTTGCAGGCCAAATTAACCCGACATGCATCTTGGATCTCTCTCAACAACAAGAAGTTTGTTTTAAATCCTGTAAAACACAAAATAAGTTACAGCTTTTTATCAGGTAAGGAAATGGATGGAAAATTAGCCCAATCTTAGCAGAGAATAACACAAGGGTTGCTAGAAATGCAGAAATTTTGAGGTATAAACCCCACAAAACCTTGGTAAGAATGCAAAATGCTTGGTTTGTATTGAGATTGAAAGTCAGGAACCAAATCAATCTATACACTGAGAAGCAGACGATCTAGCAAAGGAACCAAACCAATCTATACAGTGAGAACCAGAAGATCTAAACCATTTAGAAATACTTAACCCAGTCCAGCTTCTTTAAATTCAGCAATATTGGGAAACTACACCACAAAAAAAAAAAAAAAACACCCTCAAGAAGGACATAGCCAGTTCTGACATGATTATCAGTAAATATTATTCACATAAACTAACAAAAAATGAAATATTTAGAATAGATAAGTTTCTGCAACTTAAGGCACCAACACCCCCTTCAAAAATAAACAAAAGGAGAAATGAATGAAAAAGAAGAAAAAAATACGATGAAAATTTTCTCAAGTTTCCCAACAAGAAATGCCTAGAATTGAAATCAAAAATATAGAAGCAAATTAATCCATCCCTAAGAGCTTAAAATGCTTAGTGATTTGTGAAGCTTTGCCTTGCACCATTCACCACAGCAAGTTTTTTGGCACATAAAATTGTAAAATTCAGATTGACAACAGTTTGAGAAATTAGTCAACTGAAGGCAAATATACTAATATGATAAAAACCAATCAGTTACAAAATTCAGGGATAATAGAGCATACCTTCATTACATTTAGAATCATCCAACCATTTTCTCAGGCCTGCTATTAACTTTTTATCCTGTTCTCTCTGGTGGAATCTTGGGGAGCTTTGATAAGGAAGGAAACTTTCTCCATCTTTCCCATTATATAAAGCAAAAGACGAAAACTTTTTGTTGAAAATGGCATACACGTCATTAGCATGGATTTTCATCTGCAAGAAGACAGTTTCTAGTTTCAAGAAAAACAAAAAACATTATCCACATGTGGATAATCATGGACATATTTATAAGCAAAACATCAATCTAAAAGCCAGTACTGTTTTGTTTCAAAAGGTCTCTCAAAAGGAGAAGAAGATTGCATCTAGTCATATCAAGTCAAGCTTGAATACATCAACACAAAAGACTAGCATAAACTTGCATCTGTAGGAAGACTTTCCCAGTTACAAGAAACAAAAAAAGTGAATAAGTATGTGAATTATCGTGTATGTATTTTATAAGCAAAACATCAAATCCAAAAGCCAGTATTGTTTTGTTTCAAAATTCTCTCAAAAATGGTAGAAGGAGAAAAAATGTCAGGAAAATTTAATCCCCTTGTGTAACAATTCATTTGACTTAAAGAAGATAGCTTGTTGCCATCCAAGTTTAAGCATGCTTAGATGCTTAAACAGACCAAGTAAAAAAACAAGAAGTAAACTTTGTACTTTTCCCCTAACTACATTAAGGCCTAAATGGTTATATTTCCCAAAAGAAAGACAGATAAAACACCCATAAAAAACAAATAGAGAATTTATTTTAGAATACCTTAATAGATACCTTACATCTAAATAATTCCTTGAGTGAACTGCCCTCCCATTCTTTTCAGTAAGCTCTTATTTAACTTAGAAAATGGAGCACAGGATTTGAAGGTTGGACTTGATATCCCAAAATCCCTTCAAGCCTCCAAAATTGGGGAGATTTGTAGAGGGAGGACTTTAAATTAAGGTTTTGAATTTTCAATTTTATTTCACCTACAATAATAACTTATTTTCAGCTCAATAGAACATCCAAACAAATAAATGCACAGCTATCTTCCCTATCTTCTTCTCTCTGCTTTTCACTCATCAGACTTCCATCTTAGAGCCAATTTCTAATGGTATTGTGACCTAATAAGATTTCAAATGCTGATTCTGAAATTAGGATTAAAAATTACAGCTGCCATAGATAAAACAAATCAATGCTTAATTAGTCATAAAAAATTAAGAACCCAAAGATGTCTGAAACCTGAAACTGTTATTTGGATGTTAACAGTAAATTAATGAAATAGTTTAGATGAAGGATACATATTAAGAGGGATTTTATATTGAGGAAATAACTTCAAATTGCTTTTCCTAAATTACCTTTTTCATGAAAATTGTTTTGGTTTTACATAAAAACTTGCCATTTGAAAATTGAAATAAAACCTAAAAGTTGGTTTTAAAATCCCCCGTGAAAATTCTCTTCTTGACAAACAACTCTGTCTCCCATTGACAGAAAAGGGAAATCAACAAAAGAATTTGAAATTCTTTCCTGAATGAAAAATCCCTTGCAAAAATCTGTCACCCAATTGTAACCTTAATAATAAATTAATCATCTCTATACCATGAACATCCACCCTTTTCCACTCTCTTAAACGACTACCTACCTCAGAACTCCTATTCTGTTATTCATACATCCAAGATTATTTATTTTATTATAAGCAAAGGTTTATAGTTCTATATATATGATCAAGAAAATTACAAGTTATGATACATAGGCAATGTTTGAATTATAGATACCAGTAACAATCAACCATTGAGCATGACCATCAGCTATCTTGTTCCGTAACAGCTAAACCAAACATTACTAGGGTTCTTGAAGGCAAACATTTTTGACATGGGAAGCCACTAAGCAAAAATGAAAGACAATAATTTCTGCTTATCACTACTGCAAGCAATTCACATGTCAATAAATGCACCATTAGGTTACCATGATACGAGAAAGCTGAATAATATCTCCAGACGATGTAATACAAGGAAGCATTTCCATACTTTCGGCAAAAACATGAACCGGAATCCCATCTTTATATGACTCATCAATTATTTTTAGCTTGCAAAAATAATCTGCAAAGAGGAAACCATAAGATATTCACTAAAAATAAACAAATAAATAAAGTTGACCATAATTACAAAAGAAAAAAGCATGTTAAAGTAAAAGCTTCTAATGGCAACACATACACCAAACATATTATACATATGTCAAGGTTGTCTTCCATTTGCAGGTTGCACATACGTCCATTTGTCAACAAATATAATTTGGGAAACAAGTCAAACAAACATAATAATGTCAATAAAACCGAATGGTGGATTAAAACGCCAATTATATAGTTTGCAACAACCCCTTTTTGTGCTCAGTTCACCGAAACAATAAGAAACAACGGAGTGTGAATCCAAAACTGGCTCAGCATTGACACCTTATCGCAACTTACATCATTCTACTACCAAACTGACAGTAGCAGCCGTAAGTCCGGCCTTTTTTTCGTCATTGCCAGCACTAACACAAGCAGCGAAAAAATTTCTTAACACAAAATTCGCGTAACAACTAACAAGTACCATCAAATCTTTCCAAACGGCAAGCAAAAGCAGGAGATATTGAGTTTTTAGACCTATCTTAGGATAATAAAGAGATAAATGAGGGAGTTTTACCAGAGCCCTTGGATTTCTGTGAAGATCCGAACTCAAGAATGATGCCGATGAGATTCACTTTTTGGTTGATCGAAGTAATGGCATCCCTTATCTTAAGAAACTTATAGTCGTCTCCTCTCACCATCCCTTCTTCCGGCGACTAAGCAGCCGACTGCTGAGTAGGAAAGCCCTCCCTAGGTTATGCAAGGTAACGGTAGCACACTATTTGGTTTTATCGGTTTCTTTGGGTTTATGGGAACAACTATCTCTTAGGTATTGTTTTGGATTGGAGGTGTCGGATGGAGAGGGAGGGGAAGGAAAGAAAATGGGAGCAAACGAATGTTAAACTCCTAATTTAGTTATCAAACTATTATATGAACTTTAATTTGGTTTTTAAATTAAAAAAGTTTTTAATTTGGTCTTTAAATTATTATATGGATCTCAATTTGATCTTTATTATTTATCAATTTGTTTTAAATTGGTCTTTTTGTAAAAAAAAAAGTTTACATATCCGTTATTTAATGGTAAAAAATAATAAGTCAATGATGAAAAACAATAATTTAACGACTACATATTATGTTAATAACAAGACAGGTCAATTGGTTTTTGTACAAAAAGACCAATTAGGACAAATTGGTAAATAGTAGGGATTAAATTGAAGATTCGTATAATAGTTCAGGGATCAAATTGAGACTTAACTACAAATGAATTGTGTTAATTTTTTTTGGATAAATAAAAATAAGGAAAATGAAAGGAAGGAGGGGATTGTATTATTTTATGTTTGGACAATTAACATAAAAGGAAGGGAAATGATTTAAATAATTTTAAATTTATAAATTTAGCCTTTAGGTTTGTAATGAGATTACCTATTCTTTCTCTAGAATTGATTTAACAAAGCTCAAGGGCAATAAGGTGAGAAGGAATATTGACAACTAATGGTTTGGTTTTAAGAAGGATTAGTGATAGATTGACTTATAGAGTTGCTTGTATCCAGGAAGTTTATGTAGATTAATGCAATATTTAGTTTAACATTCAACAATTGTTATTGCTCCTTGGAATTTAAGACAGATGTAATAGCAATTATTCAAAAGAAAATTTTACTCTACAGAACTCATTAAAGAGGATATATATTGATGTAGACAACTATAAAAAGGAACATGGATCCATGGTTTAAAAATTGTTGGTTGAAAAATCATAAAATTAAAATTTAACAAAGAAATAGTAAATGAAGCAATCGATAAACAATCAATCTAAAAATGAAAAGCAAATGATTTTATTACAATATAGTCTTGATGACGCCAATAAACAATAAAATAAAATAACTAATACAAACCAAACAACAAAAAATTATTCAAACATAAATTTCAATTGATGCAAACTAAATTAGTAAAATTTTAAAAATAAAGATAATGATTATGCCCAAGAGCTTGATGATTAAGAAGTACCAAAAATAACTCTCATAACAATATTTAAGCATTTCTCAGGTAGACATCTTAGTACTACTCTTAATTTATCTAGATGTTCAAGCAGATATAAATAAGTAGAAGTAATTTGATTTGAGTTAAGTCCCAAATCCTTTAACATATTCCAAACTTCAGCCTCTAAAAGTAGAGGACGTGAATTCCCTTCAAATAGAGCTCGAGCTATATTGTTGATAGCTTCTTGAATGCCCATTGCTTCATTTTCAATTTCTTGTGACTTTTTTATTTTTTGAGATTTTGAGCTAGTTGGCACATTTGAAGGACCCCCAAAACATGTTAAAAGATCAAAATCAATATTATTAGCTCCAAAACCATCCAAAGATACCTAACTTTGTGACGCCATACGATCAATTTCTTCAATGGTATCATGAGACTCATTATCATGCTGGGATCATTGATTTTCTTTAATTCTTTTGTAGTCTCTAACTTTTCACCTATAGCTCCATCATTTCCAAATAGTATCATAAATGTGTCATAGTGCAACACTAGTTTTGTCATCCACTCTTCAGCATCCTTATTTACCTACAAACATCAATATTTTAAAATAAAAGTAATTAATTTAGGTCAAGCAAAATCTTAGCAAGAAAATTTAAATTTAAATTATATCTTTATTAATGCATCCCAAACTTCAAGCTCGGCACTCCATAGTTTGGTAACAGGGCTCCATGAAAAACCACTAAAGTTTTTGAATAAATCATGAGATTTTGAAAGGTTTGCCTGTAAAGTTTTCATATGATTTCTAACCTTATCTTTGTAAATATCCTTCCCAAGTTTTTCTTTCAATTCATTAACAATATTTTCATAAGCTTCGGTGATGAAGGAACCATTTACCCTATTGCCCAAATTAAGTTGACATAGGAAAGCATACATAAGAGCCTCATCCATTATAGGTGTCCATACTAATTTGCATTTTCAATTTAGTAAAAATTTATTACAAAGAAAATTTATCATTTATACCATTAAAAAAATAAAAGTAAATAATTCAAGAACAAAGAAATAAACTCAAGTCAAAAGAACAAAAAAAAAATTACAAGAAGGAAATTTTAAAAGCTATAAAGTAAATTAACAATTTTTGTAATTGTGCCACATATCAATAGCAATGACATCTCTCAACATTTCCTTCATGGTGGCATCTTCTTCTTCCTCTCTAGAAAGACAAGTTTATTGGGAATTGTCTTGACTTTTTAATTCCATATCTATCTCAACTATAAGGTTTTCATCAAGGTCGACACCCACTAAAAATTTGTGAATAATGCAATAAGCTAAAATAATTAAATTTTGAGTTTTCACTTGATAAAATGGTTTGGTTCCACCCCTTAAAATCTCAAATCTTTGGGTTACATGCCTAAAATTAAATAATTCTTTAGCATTTTGAGGAGGATTATTTGAGTATTCTTTGAGATGGTAGTGAACTCCTCTATAAGGAGTTATAAGGCCACTTTTCAACATAAACCTAGCATCAACTAGGCAAAATTTTCCCTCTGAAATTATAACCTTATCTTCTCTTTTTAATGCATCTTTAATAATTCTAGAATCTAAGGTAATCCCTTCCCATCATGTTAACATATAGGTGAATTTTAAGTCAAATGTACAGGCAACTAAGACATTTTGGGTTGGATACTCTTTTCTACCACGATATTTAAGGGCATCTAAGGGTGAGACTTTTACACGAATGTGTGTTCCATCAATTGCACTTACATAATCTTTAAAAGTATGGGTAGAATCTACTATTTGACATTATCTCCGTAGAGATTTGTGAACCATTTGATTGTTTAATAACTTTATCTTTAATTGCTATTATGGCTCACAATACACTATGAAAATGTTGACTAGTACTTTCTCCGGAACATCGAAACCAAAATTGGACTGAATGGTTTTTGGCATTCTTAGCTAGAATATAAAGAGTTTTCGCTACTTATTTCTCAATAGTTGCTCTCCTTGTGGGTTGGAGACCTCCCTCCCCTTTAAGTATGTCACAGAATTGTAGAAAGCTCTAAAGCCCATTCCTATGATATAACGACTTCTATTACTTCCCACAATTTTTTTCATTATCTCATCTCGAACTCATTTTTTCTCATTAATTATATTATCATCAAGAAGCTTTCTTTTTGGTCAACTTCAAAGAAATCATGAATAAACAACTAAGCATACTACATGAGCAATGGCATTCCTATGCATTTCTCTCATGGCATCCATCTGTATCTATAAAATACAAATTAAAATTCTATGTCATGATATATGCTGAATTCAATTGTATAACTAAGGTTCATAAGAATAAAAATAAAAATAAATGAATCCATATAACTAAGAAGTGAAAGAATAATCAAAGTCTAGCAATGTGCAAATATAATGAGGCATTGAACAAAGGGAAGAACATTAGGTGGTTTACAACTTTCTAGAATAAATTGCAAATTTTGAAGTTACATGAAGCCAAATTTATAACAGTATGCTAATATACTATCAGGCTGTTGATATTGTGTCTAAGTCTAACTCTACCATCTTTAACTCCATAACTTAAAAGGGCCTTATCATGTTTGGGTATGAGAACTAATTTATTTTCTGGATTCCAACCAACTATGTCTTAACCTCCTTTTCCTTGGTCTTGGCATTATCTCCTTCAATTTTATAAGGTTTGCCTATTCTGTCTCATTCTCATTTTTCTTGTACTCTTTTCAGTGGCCTTACCCTAAACCATCCAAAGTGCTAGATGTTGAGTTGTCAAGAATAGTTGTTTTCATAAGGGTGACAAAGATGTTTTCATTTTTTCATTTGCCTAAATTATACAATGTTTTTCCTCCCCATTTATTGTCTTGGTGTTTTCTTCTTCTTCTTCTTTTTTTTTTTTTTAAAGGGAAGTAACCTTGCTCACAACACAACCTACGATGGATACATCAAACTTATATCCAAAACCTTCAATGTCTTTGCTACTAGAGAAGCCAATTATGGCACATATGTTAAGATACATTTCTAGATGGTGGACTAGATGTTCATATGGTAAAATTTGGATCCTATTATTTTTGTTAAGATTCCTAAATAGTTTCATCACAGAGCCCTTTTTTCTTGTTTTCTTTTTCATTTTTTTCTTTTTTTTTGGTCAAAAATTGTATCAGGGAAAAACAAAAGATTCTAGTTGTGTTAAAGAGACTCAAGTAGCCACTATTTTAATACCCGGCCCGGCCTGGTCAATTGGACCGGTTCAATCGGACTCGGGCTTGAAAACGGGCCGATTACCTTCCTCAACCAGTTTAAGTATTTGGCCCGTCTCAACCCGGTAGGCCCGTTGCACCCGTTTGGCCCGTTGAACCTGCTGGGCTACACTCATCTCTCCAATTAACTCATTTTTTTTCATTTTCAAAGTAATATACCTATTTTATCCCACCTTTTTAATGTTATTACATAAAAACCTCCTAAACTAGAATTAAGATCAGATAAAAAAACCTAATAGAAGGTCAAAACCCAAAAAAAAAAAGAAGAAGAAGAAAACCATACTCGACATCGGCAATCCCAAAAAATTGCAAAAAATAGAAACAAGAAGACAGTTCAAGATTTCAAATAGAACAGATCCTCCTTCCTCCACTAGCCTCCCTGCTCTCAAGAGTCTCAACCACCATCGCAGCTCATCCTCCTTGCCTTTCTCCACCAGACAGCAGCTTCTCCTTCGTCGAATAAAAAAGCAGCACCGAAGTACCGAACTGAGCAATAGCAGCAGCAGCAAAACAAATCTACATCTGCTCTCCACCACCATCGTCGCAACCCCCTTTTGCGGCCCATCTTCGTTGCCTTCCTCCACCGACCAATAGCAGCTTCCCCTTCATCGAACAAAGTAGTAGCACCGAACAAGCAACAGCACCGAATAGAGCATCTACTGCTCACCTTCCTCTCCTTCCCAATGGGTAGAAAGCCAGAAACAGCCTCTCTTTCATCCATCAAATAGAGTAGCAGCACCTTCTTCCCCTTCATCCACTGAACCAAGCAACAGCAGCAAAACAAATCCTCTTCTTCTTCGCAGTAGCAAAACATAGCAGCATTTGTTTCTAGTAATGTACAATAATAAAATTAAAAAAAAAAGGTTTTTTTAGTTGACCAGTTGGACCGATCGAGTGAACCAATTCAACTGGTTTAACCAGACTCGATGGCCAAATCGAGTCAACCACTAGGTCGGGTCCAAAAACATTGCAAGTAGCTAATCCATATTCCTAAGAAACCAAATATACTATGCCCAATTCTAAAATTTATGGTTCTATGCATTCCAATTCTCATCTAAATATAGCGTTTTTCCAGAAAATCAACCATGACAAGAGAGATTAAAATCAAAAGCTAGAGAGAGAACATTCCAACTACAGTATATAAATTACTCTACGATTAAAACATAACTCAAAAAACATAGTTGAAGAACAATCTATTGCAAATAGCAACTTGCTTCCCATATTTGATATTAGAATATTTATGGCAATAATGCAAAAGAAAGGTATATCATAGTATGAAATAATATTAGCAGCATAATAGTAATTAACACTAATAGAAAATGAATAATTATAACACATCTCCCCTAGGTACCCTTAGTCCCAGAGGAGTCTAGAAAATAGAATTATAGTAAAAGATTATAGCGGAAGTAGAAACACTTCTATTATAAACTGTTTTCTTAAAAGAAAACTTGCTTTTAAATCAATTTAAAATTTTACAAAAAGAAAATCAAATACTTATAAAGGAAAACTACTTTAACCAGAAAATGTTTTAAGGAAATGTCAAAATACTTAAGGTTATAAAATAAGTTAGGCTAAGCTCATTTAATTAATTTAAATATTATATATATAAAAGTAATTTACACAAAATCATATGAGGGTAAATCTTTCTCGAAAGCTTTTCAAAATATCAAAAGCCGAATCATCGTTTTGGTAATACATTGATCCGCCTCCATATCAAAAGCACAAGGTCTTATCTTCTACGTACAACGAGCATACGAGACCTCTACTAAAATGCCTCAGCTGGTGACTGTTACTCCAATCTACAGATCTGAAATGGGGGGGAGAGTTTTATGAGCTAAATCCAAGTAAGTATTAATTTTAAGCTATAAACTTAAGTCCTAAGACCCTTAGACCTATACACACAAAGAGCATGAGATACAATGGAACCAAACCACATAATATTACAATTCTCAGTATTTAAATAATAACTTAATATCTCAAATCATAATCACACATGTCAAGGAATAATCAATGACATTTAAATTAAATTCATATAATAAAATCATATACTCACAAACACGATGTCACAAGCACAATGCATAAAACCGAAAATCACACAATGCTATGGAGTCCACTGATGTGTGCTAGCAACACTATACCGAAACTAATCACAGTACTAACCCTACTGTGCAGAGGTCCACTAAATACCTTGAAGGATCCACTGAATACCCCGAAAGGTCCACTGAGTACCCCGAAAGGTCCACTGAGTACCCCGAAGAGTCCACTGAGTATCCCAAACTTTGAGCTTAGATCTACTTACTCCATAACCACAAATGCATACACATGTCAACCAAGTTTAGAATATGTTCAAAATAATATTAGAATATTATTTCATTTAATGTTCTTATTAATTAGTGGCACGGACAATTCAAGTTCATACTAATATCCACATACACAACTCACATATTCCATAAAACTTCCTATTGAGAGAAATTAAAGTATAGTGCGTGAACAGTAATTAGTGCGTGAACAGTAATGCGTAAACAATAATACGTGAATAGTTCCAGTAAGTAATTAGCTAATAAAAATTCACAAAGAATTTCAACATCAACCAAAATCCACTTTCGTCTCTACACTCCACCAATGCCCAAAACTCTAAATTCTACTGAACAAAAATTCTAATACTCAAAAATTTTTCAAACAAAAGATTTATAATCATATCCCACCACTTAAACTAATTTTTGTGTATGTTATAACAAATTCCATAATTTTCCCCCAAAACTCTAACGCAAATCTATAGCTAAACTTAAACTTACTCGAAAATCAAGTGCCTTATTGAAGAGGACAATAAAAATTGAAAAGGATTCCAAGTGGAGAGTGCTCCTTGCACCTCAATCTTGACTGGAGGAGGAAGGAAGAAAGATGCAGGGGAAGGTTGGAAGAGGAAGGTGCAAAAAAATGGTGGGATTTCGGAAGCCTTTTGGAGGCTTATCTAAGTCCAGCCCAAGGTTTCAAAATTGAACCGGAGGTCAAACCGTTTTGACCTTTGGTTCACGATTCTAGCCGAAAAAGAAAATGCTTGGTTGGTATAATGCCATGTGGTAAGAAAAATTGGAATAATTGAGTTAAGGCCCTTCAACTCCTCCTAAGTTTTACGTAAAACCTCCAAACTTTAAATTCACTTAATTTAATCCCTAGAACTATAAAATAAAAGACTCTAATTTTTAAATTATTCACCAAAGTATGTGGAGAGTTACAATAATAGTTACCAAAATTAAATGAGAATGTTTGTACCAGAGAATTGCAGCACAACAAAGCAGAGGTTAAAACTTTCAGATTTGTCAAGTAACCAACCACGCTTTTTACTTCCTTTTCAACATCAAACTCTACAAATAATTAAACCATTTTTTTCATAAACATTAAAAAGGTCAAAAACTAATCAAAATTGAAAGTTTCTCTTACTCCCTCTCCTCTTTCTCATTGTGACGTTCCAAACTCTAGAGCAAATCAGACAACATACATTTGTAAGTTGGCCCTATGAGTGTATAAGACTTAGAACCTTATTAATACACCATACAAACTAATCAAAATTTAACTAAAATTCTCATATTAAATATAAACTTGTAATATAATCCAAAATCTAAAATTTAAAACTTGACTTAATCAAGTTAAGTAATAAATAAAAAAATAATCTAGTTAGCCATTTCTAAATCTAAAAATTGAACATCAATTCCAATGAGTATAGATACTAATCAATTAATGCATCACTTATGTTATAGCTAGATAAAGCATGCCACAATAAATTTTATTCAAGTAAAACAGATGATAGATTATAAATAGAATTTATTTTCACAAAGCAATTTTTTATTTAGTTAGAAATTTTATATAGAATCAATTCAGAACAAAAGTAGGAATTTTGACAAAACTAAATAGAAGCCTTTCCTCAATAAGTCATGGCTACTATTATATTGATAGCAACAGTTACAGTTCCAAAGAATACAACTATTATACCAGTAACTCAGTCCCCAAACAAATCCAACACTCTATTGCCGATACGACCAACGTTTTAGCCCATTAGCAGTGTCCTAGCTAGAGCATGAGAGATATCGAAGACAGAGCAATTTCATAACCATTTATATAACAAAGCAATACATGGAATCAAATCAGAAGATGAGTTCTCTTTCTTTTATTTTACAAAACCGATTGGACCATCAAGCCATACACATATATACAGTTTTGAAATCTGATGCCCAAACCTTTTCACAAACAGATCCATGTTCCAGGTATAATGCATGGAAATTAATTCTAGTTGCATGAAACAGTAATTGGTCCTAGAGAAATTAACTTCTCACTTGAGACTTTTAAAGCCTTATAAAACATTTCTTCTAATGTCAAAATAGGGTGGTAAAATTTATACTAAATAATACAAGAGTGTTGCACAAATAGTCGGGAGCAAAATAATAATTTAGTGGAAGATAAAAGGGAAGATCTCTTCAGCCGCTAGAAGGCAAACTAGTTACCAAATCAAAATTTAAAAATGGTAGGCTGTTGATCATTTATTGCATGCATATCCCAAATTTCATTTTTTTTAAAATTTCATAAAAATAATTTTTGAAGAAATATTTTAATCACGTTGATAAATAAACCAAGAAAAAAGTGTATGTTACTTACCTTAAAATCAAGTTACGTTTTCGAACTAGGAAACTTCAAGGACCAAATCAAAAGGAAATTTCTTGGCAGCACTTAGAGGGCAATATACAGCAGAATTCAGTTTGAATATCATTGGAAAAGGGCTAGAAACTGATCCGGAACAGCAGTCAAATATTGCCTAAAAATCTGAGGCAAATACTGACAAAGGCAAAAATTATGGTTAATTTTAAAAAGGTACGGAGGCTGCTGTCTCCTCAAGGCTTCTGCAGCCATTAAACCTTGGTATAGACAGCAAAATTCTAGTCTAAAGGAGGGTGTTTGTTGCTGCAACTCTTACAGGAATTTTTTGCAAGAAACATGCCCATTTCCCAGCTTCATGTCACAGACTATGGTAGAACAGGGGCAGCGGCAATACCAGATTGTATTCATTGATTTTAAGTTAGTTTCCTTGTGAAGTTAGTTTTCATGTGCTAATCTTCACCAAATTGACAAGAGATATTTCGGTTATGAGTGTGAAATAAACCAGCATCATAAATTGGATAGGCTAAACATGTGAGATTCAATACAATGAAAAAGAGTCCAGATAACAACAGATTTGAGGGGGCAAAAGCAGCGAGGAGTTTAGCTCAACGTTTTTAAACCCGACCGGAGGTCAAACCGTTTTGACTTTCAGTTCACAATTTGATCGGTTTAACTGGTTTAACCAATAAAATCATCGGTTCATTAATATAGTATAAATATATTATTTTGCAAAGTATTTCACAAGATATCCATTGAGTGCGATAGTAGGTGGTTTGATCTTCAAATGGTTTAAAAGATAGAACCGAACAGTTTACACTATTGGTTCAACTTGTTCGACCGACCAGTCTGGTTCGATTTTCAAAACCTTGGTTTAGCTAATAAAAAATGCAGTTATTGACCAAAACATGGTAAAAATGGTTAGAATATTCTGATCTTCATTTTTCTTAATATATAATATAATATTAATTAAAATAAATATTTAATATATTAAATATATTTTTAAAATACTAAAAGGCCAAAAAAGACATAACCAAGCACTCTCAAAACAATCACACTTCTACCAACAACTTGTTGATCCAAATTGAAAGATCTCGATTCTTTTTAAATAAGATTTCGAGTTTGAGTCTTATAAATAAAAAAATTGACGTTGGAAGAACTTCCCTTGATAAGATCCAACGCGATTCGATTCCAAATTAATCAAAATTTAATGTGATTATCGAATACCAAGAGATTAATAAAAAAAAAAAAACAAGCACACTTTTTTAATCTTGGGTTCGAAATTGAAATTGAAATTGTGCAATGATCTGATGGGTTTTAATGGTTTGATTTTGATGGACTTTTGTTGTTCAGCTTATTTTAATGGGCTCTTGGATCTTTACACTTCAGGCAGTTGCAGTTCATCCACTTAACAGACTCTTCCATAGGTAGTAAGCACATCAGACAACATGACATTCTACAACTCCACATTGTAATGTTCGTTGGTTAGGTAGTAAAATAAGTAGCCTTGTTTGCTCTTTTCTTCCTCAAAATCTCCCTCATTTCTTCTCTTTCTCCCTAGGTCTTCTCAGATTTTCTCCAAGTTCTTCCCAATACCTGCCATTCTTTCTTTCTGATTATATAACAGTTCTCCTCCATATATGGTCATCATCCTCATTTGTGGCCTTTCCTCTGGAGCGTTCATTATTACACTTCAGGCACACTGTGTTCCTTCTGAAATTTACGAAATCACACCTGCAAAAGGCAAATATACTTTATAACTAAATTATTATATATGTATATATATGTATATATATATAGAAGGAGAGAGACGCACAAAGGGCATTCCCATTCTCCAGGATTTAATTGTCTTTTGGGTCGAGGTGTTGGGCAACGCAAACACTTCCTATTGTTAGAGAAATTCATGAACGCACATCTGCAAACAGAACCATATAACAAACGTATCATATTACAAAATTTATAGGTAAAGTATAAAATTAATCTAAGATCAGAAAAATCATGATTCATTCCAAAGTTTATGGTCCTGACCTAGAATAGAAAGAATGAAGCAAAAAGGAAAATCTTAGGGGCAATTCATGATTTTGGTTCCATTAACAGTTTTCAATGTAAATCAAAGTATTTGCTAGTGCTTCATCAGCTCCTTCTCCCAAATTCAAATCAGTTCTCCCTCCAAAATTATCTCACACATTTGCAAGTTGCAATAACAATTCAGAGTCTAACATTGAAAGTTTGAAACTGTCAGCAGAACAGAAAACTAAGCAAATTGAATAAGGTAAATGGTTTGATGAAATCAAAACTGTTCCTTTGGAGAACATTACTATCAATTTCACAAGTTCACAGCCAAATATGGACTATATTTTTTTGATCAGTCTAAATCTGGACTATATGAGGATTGTTTTATATAAGGGGCCAACTAAAATAAAATATTTTGAAGACAGTGATGACAAAGATCCAATATTCCTAGAATTACATATCTTAGCAGCATGAAACCAGAAAGAAGCTTACTCTGGGCAAATCCAATCTCCCTTTTTCATTTGAGAATCATCCACATTGACCCTCTTTGGGCCATCTGCTTTGCACTTTAGGCATCTTATGTTTCTAGAGAAGTTCACAAATTTGCATCTGCAGAAAATGGCAGCAATCAACATACTGGGTGAAAACTGTCACTCATCCCGAAGCAAGAGGTCAATGACAAGAGAACATGGATGAGCATAGAAAATGCTAGTACACGTCTATAAAATTAATAAAGGCATAGCACCATTGCCCTTGAGGCTTGGGCTGGTAGCTCAATTGGTAAAGTACATGTTGTCCCAGCCTACAGTGCTGAGTTCAAATCTCTCTCCCAAATATAAAAAAAAAAAAATACCAATAAAAAATATATAAAAAAAAGATAGCACCATACTAATATGGAATTGGATTATATAATGGTTAAACCTCAATTTTGGTCTCTCAACTTTGGTATGGACCCCCGATAATCAAAATAGGAAAATACCCCCAGAATTATAGGATAAATGTATCAAAAGAATAAAACACTATAGGACAAAAAACAGAGCAGAGAAGGCAATATTCCCTGCATATCAACAATTAACAAGGGAAATAAAATCCAACATTCAACCCCTGGCTTCCCCAGTACCTCCAACATGTACAACATGAAAGGTTAAAGAGGCAAGCATGAAGCAAAATACATTCAGACGTTAATTTTTAATGTAAAGGAATCTCTGTATCGATTACTAAAACTCTCAAATCATTACAAAAAAATATGGATTAACAGAGCAACAGAGATACTGTAACATTATTTTCAAAGGATTAAAAGGTAAATTTCTACCCAGCCTAATAGTAACAAGATAGACTTATATCCCTGAAGGCAGTTGCTTGTTAGATGGAGCTACTAAGGTATGTAGAAACTTACCTGGAGCAGATCCAATCCCCTTTCTTAATTTCCGTTTCATCACCACCAATACTTTTTGGGCCACCTTCCTTACATTTTAGGCAATGTAGATTTTTAGAGAAGTTCATAAAATTGCATCTGCAATTATAGAAAAAATTCAGCTGCTAAATTATGAAAATAAGATGCAAAGTTTTAAGTGCAGAGAATAAGTTACACATGCTTATAAGAGAGAAAAAGTGGAATGTCAAACAGAGAAATTCTTATCATATCTTTGACAAGGAGACAAAGGTTGTACACCACTTTTAGGAGATAATAACATAGTAGATTTTGGACAGCAATCAAACTACTTAAAAGCATTTCGTTAAGTTATTCATTACTAACAAACCCTTAGTTTGCCATACTTCGCAACCATTGTTTAGCTCATTCACTAACAAAATCTTCAGACATTTTAAAAGGATACTTCTATTTTTGTGCTCACCTAAGTTTCACTGTAACTGTTAAAAACCCTTCTTTCTCTTTAAGTACCACATAATAGTGGAACTTTGGACACTTCATTCACACACAGCATACATTTCAATCAGTTCAAATTATAATCAATCCTCATTTAAAATGAATCAGCAATGAGAGTTAACTTAATAGAAGTAAAGACACACACACACACACACACACACACACAACAAAACTTAATAGTAATGAAGGCACATATATATAACAAAACTCTAATAAGCTTACTTGGGACAGATCCAGTCTCCTCTCTTCATCTCAACATTTTCAGATGGGCCCTCATCAAAGAAATTCAACTTAACAGCATTTTTCTTTTGCGGAGATGCTTTTGCAGCAGGACTTGGAAGCTCTGGTGAAGGAGATGTCTCACTCAAATCCATCAACTCAGAAAGCAGTCTCCTTGCAGATTCATAGATGAGCTCTCTACCAGGATATTTTTCTCCTGACAAAACAAGCGGATCAAGGGCATAGAACAACAGTATTCGCATTACATCCACAGTCCGAGCATTCGCTTCAGGTTCTTTTAGTATCACATAAGCCCTATCACAGGAACCGCGCAAATTGCAAATACCACAAATCTGCAAGCAAGTGCTTCTATCAGACCAAACTTCATAGTTCTTACAGGTTCTGAAACAAAATACCTTCTGAAATTTGGAAAAGACTTTAACAGATTCAATCAAGAAATTCACTGCATGAATATATGAAAGGAAACCACGTACATCCCCTTCATCCAGTCGTGCATAGGCTCTCAACCTTTTTGCTGAATTTACAGCTTTGCGCAGGAGATTAGGACATCCATTCCCCACAACGGTTTCAACATCTTTCAAAGATAACAATCTGCAAGAAAAGAAAACAAGGAAGATTAAACTTAAGCCCCAACACTCTTTAGAATTATACTTTCCCTTCCTTACATTTTCCTGTAATCAAGCATACTAATAAACATTTCCAAGTAAAAATTGCAGCTTTGAGCATATCTTAAAGCAGAAAGAGCAAAACTCTCTTACTTGAGAAGATCATAACGGTCACGTGCAAATCTAAGGCAAGCATCTTTCAGCAAATCCATCTCCTTATAAATCCTCTCATCTTCAGCAGTGGCTCCACTGGCAACATTCTCGCCCTCGTTTTTAACATCAGCTTCAGTTAAGTAACCCCTGGACTTCAATTTGTCGACGAAAGTGACCCACTCGGGCCAGGGGTGGGGAGAAATTGCGCTGTCTGCATTGACTGTATCGGCAGCGGCGGAGGAGGAACTGTACTGGTGGAAGCGGAGGGAGAGGGGTGGAAAAGGGAAGGATTTGAGGGGGAGAAGTGGAGGAGGAAGGAAGTGTTTGTGGGTGCGGATAAGAGTGTTGCCGAAGAGTATGATTCTCAAAGACGATGACATTATTGGGGTTTATGGAGGGTTTGTGGGGTGGGAGAGAATGAGGATGGCCTTTTTCTGTGAGGATTATATTTGCCTTTTTCGGTTATGGGTTTTGCCTACGCCAAAAAATATAATTTTACAAGGCAACTTGTCTCCAATTTGCAATTAATCCCCTCTATTTTTTAAGAGACAATTAAACCCTCTTAGCTTTATTAGAGCATGTACAATGAAATATAATAAAACAAATTTATTTTGGTGCCATGTCATCATAATTAATATTATTTTATATAAACTCACATTTTTATATATTTAACATTTAAATAAAACATTTAGCCTAACTCCTCTTCTCTTATACATATATTTATTCTATAAGTGCTACTATAAGGATAACTTTTTTATACTACAGTTTTATATTATTTTCATATGTTATTAAATGGGTAAATGTATTCAATATTACGAGTTTCACGTGAATTAAAAGACTCAATCATTTTAATGATACGTCAAGTTATATAAAAAAAAAAGAGAAAAATGTTATACAAAAATCATTTCCTTTTACTTTATATTCTCTCCCTTCTCTTTCTATTGATAAATAATTAAATTAAAATAAAATAAAAAATACAATAAAGAAAATTTTTTCCTTCCCCTCTCTTTGAATTTTTTTGTTAACCAAATATAAAATTTTTTCCACCTTCCCACCCTTTCCCTTCATTTCCCTTAATCCAAATATAGAATCAAGAATTTTTCTAACATATGTCTTTAGAATATAAGTTAAAAGTATAATTAATATACTTTTTAACTTTTTATTTATTTAATTTATTACATAAAAAATGTAAAAATTGATATTAATTTTAGTACTAATGCCTTTTTTTTTTCACTTGATATTGCGTGATAAGTGGCAATGCCTGATATACCTTTAGTTCTAGTAATTAATTTATATTAAAAAAATAAAAGTTGACTTTTAATTTATTAATCAATTAACTAAAATTATACAAGTGATATTGGTATTAAAGTCAATATCAACTTTTACATTTTTTATGTAAATTAAAGGCTTAAAGGTACATTATTAATATGTGTGGCCAAAATATAAATTTAAAAAATCTTTTTTTAAAGAAAAATAAATACCGCATTTGGGCCTTCGGCCCAGTAACGTCAGGCCACGTATAAATGTATTTTCTCACTCCCAACGCAACAGTTGGAATCCGGCCCTTGTGAATTTGTTCAAAAAAAAAAAGAAAAAGGAAATGCCAGCCGTTGGATTGCCATATCCATTGGGTGGACATTGTTAGGCGATGCAAACAAAAGTAAACCATTTTGCCCTTTTAGAGGAAAAAAAATAAGAGAGTTGAGCTCTCCTTTTTCAAAAAAACTCCAATGGTAAATTCTTTAGAGCATTCTTCTTATGTTGAAGAGAACATGTAAATCAAGCATGCGTTGTACATGCTCTTAGGTTGGTAAAAACTGCAAACAATTAAGTCATATGAGTGATTTTATCTTCATGAGAAAAGAAGTTATCTTAACACAATCCAATCATAACTCAATATTAGACTCAAATTCAGCAACTCAATCGTAAATTAATATTATATTCAAATTTAAGTTGTTAATAATGATTAATTATGGTAAATTTTTTTTGAAACATCTTAACATTAAATTAAAGTTTTTAAATTAGTGAATATATATATTTTGATAAATAAAATTAGTGAATATTTAACTTAGCTAAGTTTTTGTTGGGATCGCATGCAAGGCTCCTTCAATTTTTAGGCTTTTTTGTTTGTTCTGAAGAGTATAGGAGCTTAAATGCAAGATTGGGGTTAATTCAGGAGCTTAAGATAGATATTTGGCTTATTACCAATATTTCTGCAACAATCTGGAAACCCCACATAAACCCCGCTCACCCAACAAGCCTTACGCTCTAGATCTGCCCCATTCTCCCACAGATGACCATGAGAAGAGCCTCCACGCTTGCAACCTCCGTCCTCTCAAACACCCTCGCCAATGCCCACGGCGGTGTTGGTGCATCCACCGTCCACCACCGCCTCCTCCAAGTGGCGCTTTTCTGCAGTAGCAGTACGACCAATTCTTACACCCATCGCCGCTGGTTCTCTCCCTTTTTCAGCTCCTCTTCCAGTGGCTCTGCTCGAGGTGTCTGTCTTGGATTGGCCGGCGCACTTGCCTCAGTCGCCACTGCCGCTTCGCTCTCTCAATCCGTTTACGCCAAGGAGCCGCTGCCGTCCGAAGTCGTTCCGAAGGATGTTATTCTTTATCAGTATGAGGCTTGCCCCTTTTGTAATAAAGTTAAAGGTATTTTGGGTTTGTGGGTGTTATTTTTGGCTTTAATTACATGGTATTCTTGTGCTCTGTTGCTTTTTTCATTAGATTTGTTTTTTACAGAGAAAGTTCTCGTTGCATTTCTATAAAGTTATAATCTTTCATGAGAAGAACAGATAAGGAATAATGTTTTTGGATTAGCTTTGTGATCGTTTGTCTTTATGATATTTTGAAGAGTGGAGGCTTCTCAAAGTTTTTTTAGGTTGATTAATAGTTAATTATATCTGATTGAATTGTATTTTAAGGAATATTGAGGATTGGATACTTGATTGTGGGTGGTGTTATATGGATGTTGGATTACATGCCATTCTTTAGAAATGAAAGGAAAAGAAGAAAAACACGAAATAATGTTTTTCATTGTATCTGATGAATTTTCTGTGCAACCATTCTAGGATTAGGGTTCACAAGAATCCATTTTGATCCCCCAGTCAAACCAGACTTGATTGAACTATTTATCATGTGAAAAGGGACCTCAAATAGGGTCAGTCTAACTAGGGTGAATGCTAGCTGGCTAAAAAAAACTAGGGTGATTTCTCTGCCCTTATACTTCCTTTGGTTTAATTTCTTTGCATGAATGAAAAAGAGAGTGGTAACCCAATGTATTGTGTTGCTTCAACTTCTGTCTCTTTGTTTATTTCATTAGCTATCTTCTAATTTTCACTTTGTGTTATATAATTTCAGCTTTCCTAGACTACTATGACATACCATATAGAGTTGTAGAAGTTAATCCAATTAGTAAGAAAGAGATCAAGTGGTCTGATTACAAAAAGGTGCCTATACTGATGGTTGATGGCGAACAGCTGGTGGACTCCTCAGGTGCTTGTTAGCACAACCAAAAATAGATTGAGTTTATTTTTTATCTTATATTCGATGTTAGTAGCAAATATTCCAATCACTCGGTAACTTATTGATTCATTTATACTTATTTTAGCTGCAGTTGCTGATTAAACCACAATGTGGTGTTTTGCAGCTATAATTGATCAATTGTCTGTGAAGCTCCTCTCTGAGAAATCCATTAATTCAGCTTCAGATGAGGATGAAGAAAAGAAGTGGCGTGGGTATATTGTTGATCTTTTATTATCTGTTCAACTCTCTCTCTGGATGATTGCTTAAAATATACTAACTCATTTATAGGTTACTACTGGCAGAGAATAATATTATTTTTGTGTTTTAGTTGTTCCTATTTTCAGTTTTTGATTAAGTGAAAACATGGAATATTGTTGTTATTGCAATTTAACCATCAACAATGTGTGGAACCTTTTGGTGGTTAGTATCTTGTCAAATTGGTTGCTGAAAATTGAGTGCCTGTCTAGCTTATAACAACCTTAATCTTTATGTATTGTTAACATAATCCATGTAAAAGAGTAAGGATGCTTAAATTTTGTTCTGTAGAGTATCCATTTGAGCATTTCATTTGGAAAGTAGATGTGCTGTTAATCCTATTATCAACTAATTGATCATGGTTCTCGGGCTTCTAAAATGCACCTGATTTTCATTTGAGATCATTAGTAAATGATCTTTTGGAGGACATCATACTATAATCAGTTGGACTTGGTTACTTTTTTCAAAAAGAGAAGAATCACTATTCTTTAATGTTAAGGTATGATTAAATATTCTTTTTAGGGATTTGTAAAAATTGTAGAAGGATGTAACATGATTTCATGGGGATGCAGTTTTATCTGACAGCCTATGAATAAAGGAACAACTGCTGCTGTCTGTGCTTTTGTCCTAGGTTTCTAGATTTGTTTTAAATCTGTAATACCTGCTTGAACATTGTAGCCTCTTTTTCTTCTTCTTTTTTTCTTTCTTTTTTTTTTTTTTTTGTATTCAGTCTTCAAGGTGCTTTATATGCTGAGAAATATTGTTTTAGTTTTTGGTTTATTAATTGTGGCATATCATTGTGTAGGTGGGTTGATAATCACTTAGTTCATGTCTTGTCTCCAAACATATATCGGAATACTTCTGAGGCTCTTGAGTCCTTTGACTACATCACGAAGCAAGGTAAATAATACTCCTTCTATCCTATTTTAGTTGTCACACTTTTTCCTATTGCCTTACCAGAAACAATTATCAAATTCTATAGAAACACAATTATTATAGGTTAAGAATCCATATTTACCCTTCATGGGACTCAATTAATAATGAGGTCGAGAGTAATTAATAAGTTTTGATAAAGGAGTCATTATGAAATTGCAATAAGAGTGAAGTTGAAAAGAGAGCTTTTAATGCTTTATTAATAATAGAAATTGTCAACCAAATTGGGAACACTTTTTTGAAAGTATGACAACTAAAATGTGACAGAGGGAGTAACTAAATTTACATTTACATGCACAGCTGTTGATATAATAAAGTGTTTTTATATAAACCTAGGTAATGAGCATAGCAATTGTCTTTTCTTTAAAAGCTATGAGTGTATTTTATGAACTTTTTTCATTTTTATTTTACAGT